GAGCGAAAATATAACGGTAATGATCAATATTGGAATTGAACAAAAAAAGATGAGCAAGTAAAACAATTATTATAATGGTTGGTAATAATAATAGACATGTAACAATTAACAGTTAATGTGGTAATTGCTTATTAGTAGCATTAAAATGGATTAAGAGAAGGATAAAGTTGACTGAGTTTTGTTTAGAGTGAAAAATAGTTGATATTGAAAAAAAAGAGTCACTAAATTGAGAGTCAGGTCAAAATTTCAGGTAATCAAAACAATTATACCATTTAAAAAAAGGTAAATTATTAATTGTCTTAAACCTCAATTGATACTCAATTAGATTTGCAATTGATTTTCAAGTGTATTGATAATTTAATCATATATGCCCAATACATCATCAATTGTAGTAATCACCATTATAATTTGCTAATCAGTCTATCGTGCAGCAATTTAATTAGATTCATCTAAAGTAGACTATATAATAGCTGAGAAATTAAGAATAATGAAATTAAATTAAAATAAAATAGATGCAAATTAAATTGTTGGTGTTACCTTGAAATAATTAAAGACAACTGATATAACTACTGGTTATAATGGTATAGCGATTAACATGATAAGATTAATTGATTAATAATGATTCAAATACAATTAACAGAATGAGTGATGAGAGGCAATGATCTTTAGAGTAACCACCTTCATGATTATTCATACTAATTATCGGTGATATCATAATCATAATCATCACCATTAACCATCATTACCATTATTCTAAGTCAATTGATTAAGGATAAAATTACATTTGATTTAATAAAATTACAAATTAACCATGAAGTAATATTTTAATTATCTGAGTTAATTTGATTTTAATTTCAAAATAAATCATCAATTCAATGGTCAAATACACCAACGGGTGTGTTGGTCAAATGATGAGAATGATAGTAACTCAACTGACCCATTCATTTTATAATCTACTCTGATAATGATTAGTCAAAACAGGGTAAAAATATAAATACGCACACACACAAAATCTTGATTATATTGTATACACAGTAATCAAAATAATCAGAGTGAGTGTTAAATAGTAACAATAACAACGAACAATTAACAACATCATTATTATGTTTTTGTTATTATTATCAGTAAACAACAGAAACCGACAAGTAAATACAATAATACAAAAAAAGGCAATACTGTTAATCTAGGTAATAATAATGACAGTTAATTTAGGAAAAGGAAACTAAGATTGGTGAAACAATTTTGTGGCAAACTCATTTGTGGATTATCAAGATTAACACGGACAAGGAACACTACCCTTTGGATACAATCAAATTAACTTAATCCACCAACCTGCAAAAATTAAAATTGATGTAATTAAGTAACTATTAGGGATGAGTTTATCTATCACATTATATGAAGACTTTTTCTGATTTTAATGTTGGATAACAAAATTGCAATTATTATAAATGTTTATGCATAGATGGTCATCTTTTGTGTCTTCTTAATCCAAGAGACATTTTAATTGTTAAGTTAATTCACTTTATTCACTAATTAATTTTATGATTAAGTTAACCAGTAACTTTTCTGGTGATTTCTTGAAGTGTCAACGGTTAATCTTGACACTTTCAAGAAGATATCAACATGATAATCTTGCAGTTAAGTGATACAATTATTTGGGGCATCATCTACTATTTAAAAACTATAATATGTTATCATGAATGAAATAGTAGAGTGAAAAGAAAGAGCCTGAATCTTATGTTTGAAACTACTGGTCAACAGACTCATCAAATTGTGTAAATAATCAAGCTGATTGTTATCATTTTTTTTAGATGACCAATTGAAAATGGACATTCTCAATGAACCGATAACTTAACAACAGTAAAGTTTGATTGCTGTTGTGTTAAGTTAACCATTTATAAATTATTTTTGATTATTGATGATAATTCATCAAACTAGATTAATATCCTTTTATTTTTATTTTCTGCCCTAAAATTTTCCAATTGTAGAGTAAATTAACTTTTGGAAGTTAATTAAATCTTCAATTTTTCAACAATTACCAACTAAAACTAATAAATTTCTCAACTAATTTGTTACATATAATAATTTTCAACGTGATTATGTTGATAAAAAAACAAAACTATCGAGAGAGTGAAACAAAAATTAGTGAAATGAAAGGTAAAAATTGAACTTGATTCTCACAGTAAACACTGCACATCAAAGCAATTAACTAATTGCAATTAATTAGATTGTTAAATCTCATATAATGAGAAGAGGGTATTTAGGAGGGTATGAGGTGAACTGTAGGGTGGTATCATCATGTTCATCAATAATTATCGTTATGATCAACAGAATGACAAGTTATCCGATTACAATTAGAAAAGTGATTTGTAATTTAAATCAAGGTAATAATCAAATAACAATAATAAGAAATCATGAGTTGATTATATTTATATTGTATTAATTAAAGAATCACAATTATAACAAAGATGATGATAAATTCTAATCTAATTTTGTATAATCAACTTTACTCTCTCACCGTCCAACAGGATATTGCCCTCAGGTAATTTATTGATTCTACTAATAATTTTTCTTAATTATCGGTGCTCACTTGTTTATCATTCTCTGTCACATTATCGATTGGATGTTAACTTTTCTCAAGAAATGGATAAGCTAATCATCATCATCATTAGTATAATTAGATTCTGATTAACTAACAAACTCATTATTATTATTATTATATTTTACTTATTTTAATTCAATATATATTTTAATGTCCACCTTCATCATCATTATCAGAATGATAATCAAATACAATCATTATCATTTTGACATTTTCTTTTTTTCTTCTTTAAATAAACACTGAATTTATACCTTTGGCTATCCAAATGTATTCGTCTCAAGGTGAGATACAATAAGATGATAACAAATTGTATCAATTATAAGTTTCTGATTCAAATATAATTATAAATTGTTCATAATTATGGATTCAGTTTAGAAAAAAATAAAGTTTCTCCAATCAAAATATTACTAATTCTTTACTCAATCAAAATCATCAATAAAAATAATGCTTTTAGATGAATAATTATTTCATCTACTATGATGATGATTGGGTATTAAAAAAAAAATCCGAATCGATAATCAACAAATCACAATCATCATTTTCCTGAGTTGCCAAATAAACCAGAAACTGTCAATTTGATCAATCAAAAGTTGATCAAGTTACCTACTTCTAATTACAATTCTAATATGATATTCTTTACATGGTAAATCTTTTCGATAGAGAGAAAAAGTGAGTGAGTTAGTGAGAGAAAACAATGAAGGGCGTTTATTAATCTGGGGCGTTTTCTGTTGAGTGTATTAATTTTTGTCTCCACTAATCAGGGTGTTAAGGGGAAGAGGGGAAAAAGAATTGATTTAAATATGTAATTAGGTGAGATGAGAGAAAAAACAATAAATATGAGGTAATGAATAATGGATAAACTTACTTAATCTTGCATTGATAATCGAATTAAAAGCTTTGGAAGTTGATTTAATCGCATGGGAATATTGGTTGGCCCAGTCTCTTTCTTTTTGAAAATATTCTTCACAATCTTTATGTGTTGACCTTCCTCGGGAATCAATGTTTTCAGATAATTTACCCAATATATTTGAAGATTTGGGTAATTTAACTCTTGGGGGTGGATTAAGGGAGCAAAGAAATTGTTCCCAAATCTTATCATGGCCGAAAATTGGATGATTAAGAAGTAATCTTAAATATTCTTGGATTTGCCAGCAATCTTTGTACCATTCATCACCGATTAGAGTTCTTGTATTGGGACCAAGTTTTTCTCTACTCTTTTCTTTAGCATGTAAGGGATTGGTCATTGATTCTTCGGGTAATGGTGGCATAATTAAACCATAACCAGGAGCAACTGATGCAGTTAAACTTTGATTCAATTGTTGAAGATCATCATATATCCTTTCAACTTTCCACTCTTTACCAGAAGATTCATCCATTAAAGATGTTGTGGTCAGTTTATAAATGACACTTTCACCATCTTTTGTTATACTATTGGTTGACACTTTAACTTTATATTTTGGTCTAAATGGTTCTTGGGCTACCTCTGAAGAAGAGCTTGTAGATACATTGGAAACAATTGAAAGTGATTGAGGTGATTGACGATCTTCCGGATAATTTTCCTGGAAAAAAACACAATCAAGAAGAAAAAGAAAAAAGAAAACAAAAATTAATAGATAATAACACTTAACATATTCACATTAACTAATTAAATCTTACCTTAGATGGTGATGGTTGTTTCTCATCGTTTTTCAAACCCACAGGATCTTCAAGTGAAATATTGGAAACATTTACCGGTTCAATACTAGCGATTGCAGAATCAATAGTATCCATATTAGACAGAGAAAAGAATAGAATTTTTCGGTTTTCTTTTTAGAATAAAACAAAAATTCGATTCAGAGGTAAACTAAGCAATAGAAAATAATCAACTGGTTGTTGACACAATCAAAAGTAACAACAATCCAAAGGATTAATAGACAGTTAATAAAAAAAAGGAAATGTTAATCAAAAGCTAAACAACAAAAAAATTAATCGAGGTACAAAATCAATAAAAGTAAACCATTAAAATGAGAAGAGAGAGAGAAAGAGAGACAGAGACAAAGAATAAAAAAGAGAGAGTGAGAGAGAAAAAAGTATCCAAGGTTAACAATGTAACAATAGTCGTTTGATGGGATCGGTTAATTAATTGGTGAGTAACAACAAATGAAAATCAATGTAAATCACAATAATTGAAATTAAATCAACGAATAGATCACGAACCAAGAGAGAGAGAAAGAGAGAATAACATTGAGAGAGAAAATAAATCCAAAGAGAAAAAAATTTTGCTCCATTTGAGTTACTGTTCCATAGAAACACCAGATGGAAGCACATCGAAAGGTAAACATATGTTCTGTTTCCATGGTAACAGTAAATCTCCGGTCGGGAAAGAAAGAGAAAAGAAAGAGAAAAAGAAAGCGAATCTTTTTGATGAAAGGAAAAAAAGAGAAATATTTTCATTTTAATTCTTCTGTGTTTATGTTGTTTTCTTGTGAATAATTTTTTTCTCTTACCAATTATCTCAACTCTCTGAATTTCTCCTGAAACTTGATTACGTTCAATCAATGGTTTGGTTGTGAATGGATGAGACAATTTTCATCGACTAATTTATCTTTCGCTCTGAAAAAGAATCGTTTTCTTTTTCTCTTTTCCATTTGTGTTTCTTTCTTTCTTTCTCTCTCTCTCTCTTTCTCTTTCTCTTTCATATTTTTCACAGCATTTTCGCCTCTTTGTTTGCATCATTTTGTCTACTTTTTTTGTTGTTTTGTTTTCATCTTCATCCAATCAATGAGGATTTAATTTATTTACAGAACAAATAATTTAAATCGCAAGTCTAAATGAACTTCTAAGAAAATTCTAAAGAAGAAAAAATTACCTGTCTACTAATTGGTTCTTTTTTCTTTCTTTACCTCTTTCTCTCTTTTTTTGTGTCTTTTTTTTCGGTTTTCTCTCTCAACTTCTTTTTTCTTCTTCCTGTTTTCTACTTTTAATTGTTCCAAATTCTCTCTCTTTTCCTATAAACATCTTAATCTTCTGTACGACAATTTAATGTCTCACATGGAGGTTAATCAAACTTTATCAGTTTACAATAATATTGTCTACTTTGGTGTTCATAAATTTTGCTGTGATGAAATTCGTTTAATTTCAGCTGGCATTAAATTTTCCCAAGTTTGTCAAGTCCAAGAAAGATCTCGTTTCAACATCACCATTCCACCAATTGATATAAAAAAGGCCTATTTTGACAGTAAAACTGGTGAGAATTTGTCAACCCTGATCACAGAAACTAATCCTGATTCTGGAACTAAAATAAGCAGCGCATTGAAACTAAAACCTAATCAACATGATACAAACACTCAAGGTAATTATTTGTTTTCTTCTCCCTCTCGCACTTGTCTTACTTTGGCTGTTCTCTAATGATTGTCCTTCCATCGTTTATCGCGATTAACTGTCAAAATCTCTTATAAATATTTCGTACGATTGTGAAAACTCACCGTTCAAATTATGATTTAGGTTAGTGATTAACTGCCATCTCTTGACATCTCTTTCATTTTCTTTATTTTCTAATCTCACTCACCATTTATCATGCGTTTGCCTCTCTTATATTTACTGTCTCGTATTTTTAACTAACATTTAGTAGCCGCATGCTTATTTTTTTCTTCCCCCTAATCTAATACTCTTCATGGAATATTAGACAACTTGAAGGATTTGAGCTTTTCTTTTTTGATCCTCTGTCGCTGTTTTCTTTTGTCTTACACTCTTATTTCATCTTATTTTTTTTATTAATTTTCTACTCTGTGACTTTTTTCTTCTTCTCTTCAATTAAACTATTAGGATCGATTCGTGTTCTTGTTCAATTTAACGGACAAGGTGAAGAAATTTACAAAATATTGGAAGGATATTTTTCCGTCTTTAGCCAAGTGGATTGGAAACTTGAGAGAGCCCTATCGCGAAGCGTTCTTAAATACCTTGATTTCTTGATCAATTATTCTCAACAACCAACACCAGATTTGGAAATTTCTGCCAGCAAGGAGAACGACGAAAAGACAACACAATCAATCCTGTGTAAATCGAAAAAAACATATTCAAGTTTACCACAATCAACGAATACAACAACATCATCAATGTTCTCATCTGCCCTTAGATCATCTTCTCCACCTTCTAAACAGTCTCCTATCCTGGTTAAGAATAAAACGAACGTTTTAAGGCCCAAATCAGATGAATCACCTTCCATAATTGATATTGAAATCGATAGTGATGATGAAGATGACACTGAAAACCAGCGTAGTTTGAATGGCTCAATATCTAATAAGTAAATGACTTTAAGCTGCGTTTAATTTGTAACAAGCTCTATGGCTTATTTTTAACTGTCATTCTTATAATTCTTTTATTTTGACCCAGTGATGACCATCTCTTCAGTTACCCACCCGATGAAATTGATCGTATCTCAATCCACCAATCGGATCTTGCTTGTTTGGAACAAGGGCAATATTTAAATGATACAATCTTAGGTTTCTATCTTAAGTAGGTTATTTTTTTATCTATGGAAACATAATAACCTTAATTCGTCTCTGTCTTACTCATGTTGATCTCTTTTTCTCTTCTTTTCATAGATACATCGAAAAAGACTTGACAGCGCCAGATATTGCCGAAAGAAGCTACATATTTAGTACATTTTTCTATTACAAGCTCACCCACAGAACTCGAGTATCGGAGACTCAAACTCAGGACAATCAATCGTAGGTGTCACCTGAATTTGTGTACCTGTTGATTTAATGTTGGTCAAGTGGTGATTTCCTTATTTGCCAATGACCAACAGCCAATCAAATAAAAATTATTGGTTTTCCGTAATTATGGCCTTTTGGTCATCTAATCGGCATTGATAATCTGATACTTAATTGTTTATTTATTCTCTCCTATCTATTCAGGCTTTCTGATAAATATTACAATAGAGTCAAGAATTGGACAAAAAATATTAATATATTCGAAAAAGACTTTATAATTATCCCAATTAACAAATCCTGTCATTGGTTTTTGGCAATCATATGTTATCCAAGGAAGGTTCCATTCATGGACGAGATTTTACCGATAGAAATTGAAAAAAATCCAAAAAGGTATTAGATTAATTTAACCAGTTCAATTTGAGATACATTTCTAATCCTTTTGAAATTGCGTCTCTCTCTCTCTCTAGACCTTGTATACTTTTCATGGATTCACTTCAAAGTGCTCATAGTAAATGTGGATTAGCTGCACCAATTAGACACTTTCTAACCAAAGAATGGGAATCAAAGAAAACGACAAAGAAAAATTTTAGTAAAAGTGTAATGCCTGATATTTATCTCAAGGTGCCTAAGCAAATTAACTCCTTCGACTGTGGTCTCTATGTGCTACAATATATTGAAAATTTCTTAAGAGTAAGTTAATTTGAAGGTCAAGTAAACTTTTTCTCCTCGCCAACACAAATTAATTTATCTTTTTATCCTTAAACATTTCCAGAATCCTGATTATTTACTTGAAAGAATTTGCAAAGATCCTGCTATCAATCTAGAAGATTGGTTTTCTCTTTCACTGGTCTCTTCTAAGCGACGAACAATTAAAAGATTGATTAAACAGCAACGAGAAGCAGGCGAGAATAAGAAAAATGGTAATTGTGAAAAGATGGAAACTGATGATGATAGTTGATGACTGATTTTCTTCAAACTAATTTCGGTCAAATAAACCGCATCAAAATAAGTTTGACGTCAAATTTTCACTAACCGGGGAAATTTTCATGATTAACTCTCCCACTTATTAACTCTGCTCATCATGGAATAATTTTCAACCGTCTTCCCGAAACGATTAACCTCTTAAATCACCGATTAATGATATCCAGTGTCAATAACTAACATCTAAATCACTGCGGACCAACATTCAATATACTGATGACTGACACTCCCTTGCTCTCTCTCTCTCTCTATCTTTTTCTTCATCCATCTCTCTATTTCAGACTCGATTCTCTTTTGATTATGTCCATCGTAAATACGTGTTGTATTGTATCCGAATTTGTCATCTTTAATTACGCTATCAAGAGACATTAACATAGCTATACATCTTTACTATCATCATCGCCGTCATCATCACCATCTTTCACAATTGATTATATATAAACATAAACAACCATCATCAAAATGCATCATAACAACAACAACAAATCTCTTCGTCATCATTGGAAATAATTTAAAGAAAAACGTTGAAGACGTTTCGTTCATTACAATCAAAGATTCATCACTGTGATTCACATTTAATCCTATGGAATTAAGATTAAGAGATGATATTTATACATATATAAATGATCGGAGGAGCTACAATATTATCTTCAATTAGCTAATTGTAAACAATCATAAATCTAAATTATATCGATTGAAAAAATTATATTGAACTTTCTATAACATTTGCCTGTTGAGTTATATTAGGATTAAGCTGAAATGACCTCAAACAAGCTGGACAGATTAACATATTTGGATGATCCTGTTGCCATTTTTTGTAATCCACTCGGAGATATGTCAAACCGATTACTGTTGAAATTAGAAAAACAATAAAATACATAATGATAAATGTTACAAGTAACTTGTTCCATTTTGGCAATAGAATCGGATTAGATTGTTGATATTGAATAAAGCCGAGGAAAACAGTGTAATAGCCAATGGTCAACATGAAAGAAGTGGAAATGATTGAACGATATCGATGATTCTGTTTAAAATACAAGCGAAAAGTTGGATGATTTGGTCTAATTGTAAATTCGGGAGAATATGATTGACAATTTGGACACCGATAGCCACCCAAAGTACGAATACCAATCATAATCAGTGGATTAAGAGAGAGGATTAAGCGATTGTTAAAAAGAAAAAAAAAGAAAAGAAAATCGATTAACTGTTTAGTGACACAATTGGAGAAATATCTTCTGAACCATTTATATAAACTTTTGTGTAATAATTTCGTACCAAAAGATTTAAATTAATTAATCATCAGGATATTTAATCTACAATTAACATCATAATTTAATTATAATCTCCTGTTAATTGATTGTTACACTAAAAGAAACAATGAAAAGATTGTATCTGTTATTGACAAGTTAATGTTTTCGATTTAATTTCTTACAATGTAAATTCATCCATTTAGAAATTAATCCAACACCAGTGAGAAGTTAAATTGTAATGTTTTCGGTAACAAAGTGATTAACTCTTAACTCTATCACATTGAGAAAACTAATCTTATCAAATCTATTATCATCTCGACATCAAGGAACAGGATAAATGACAACAATTGACAATTCAATTGCAGATGAGACAAGAAGATGATTTAATAAACGATTATGTGTATAAAGTGAAAGGGGTTTCGAAGAGGAGGGAGAAGAGAGAAAAAAATGAAACAAGAAAAAAATGTTCTAAGGAAAAGTTCTAAAAGAAGAATCGAAAAATCGACGAAACGTGTAAAAGGATTATTTCTCTTTAACCGGTTGTTTATGTGAATTCGAAAGTGGTTCATGCAAATGACTCGAAATTCCCTTTATCCGATATTCAATCAGCCTCTTTTTTTTTCGAAAAAAACAAAATTTTCAACTTGATTTGCCTTCGTTTCTTTATGCAAGAGTGAATTTAGTCAATTGATAAACTGTTAGTAAATAAACAACAACAGAGCGAGTGAGAGTTAGAATCGCCCTAAGGGCAAAAGCATTTTCTTTATGCAAAATGTTTTACTTTTTTTTTTGCTTCTTTTTTTTCACAGATGAAAAGAAATCTATTTGTTTTAAATATTCAATTCTAAAAGTTAATTGTAATATATTTAGATGGAAGAAGAGTTTTGTTGATCAACAGATTAATCTAAATGAAAATTGATACAATTTGCGATGAAAACAAATTGAGATTAAGCATCAATTGAATTTTCTTATGATGAAATTGATTCTCTCATTTGTGTCGATTAATGAAACAATTACTTTTAAATCTTATCGAGGTTCTTTTAATACCTTTCTTAGGGTTTCGTCTTAATAACACAGGTAAATCTTGAAGATGATCAAAATCACCTCTTTAGCTTTGAATGAGCAGCTTTCATGGTGATAATATTAATAATAATTCATGAAATCACATTATATAGATACGATTCTAGGATATAAGATATTGAAAGAAAAGACAAGAAAAAAAAACCATGAAGTTGATGAAACTTTTATCATGATATTTATCATGGTGAAAGTTATTTGATATCAAGTATACAAAGCAAGAAAACTAATAATCTTTGGATTCTCCCGATGATAATACTGTTAAGTATTAATACCTCATTGTTAGTTTTGTATTATCATCATTAATATATTAAACTTTTCCCCCTTTTATTGTTATTATATTTATCATACATTCTTGAAATTCCCGCTTTTCAAAAGTCTATCAGTTTAACTAACTAATCAACTAATCAACTTCTTGATTGTATAAGCAGAGAGAATGAAATTCAATACAATAGGCTGGAAACAATTAACTCTCTCTCTCTCTCTCTCTCTCTCTCTCTCTCTCTCTCTCTCTCTCTCTCTAAGAGTTTAATTTTCAACAGTTAATGAAAAAATTGAAGCTCAACTAAATATAATTATAGTTAATAAATTGTAGTTATTAAGATTTTCTCAATACCCTCAATAAGGTTGAAAAGTAAATTCCTCTCCTGATTATCATAACAATAACTAATCAAGATTAACTCCCGACCAAACATAATATATTCAATCTTAATTGTTAATATCGATTGATAGAAATAAATTTTGATCGACTTGTATCAACATTTACATTTTTAATATAGATTGTCAGCATTTATCATGGAAGAAAACTTGGAATTGAAACTTTTCCTCAGATTATAAAAATCATTCCAAATGATTAGCAAATCGATTCTCAATGCTTATCATTAACACGTTATCATCATTATCATCTATCTGTCTATTAAATTAACTGATTGAAAGATGAAAATTGTAAAAAAATATAAAGGTAACAATCAATGAAACTGTTTAAAGCTCTCATTGTATTCAAATAATTGAGCAACTACGATTGATTGATAATCTTTTTGTTTGATTGTTGTTATTTCAATTATTTTCTGTCAACAATCAGATAGTAAATATAATATTTCATTGAAGATGATGATCAGTAAAAAGTGATAACAATAATAATAATAACGTTTTTTATTTTTACTCACAAATTGTATTGAAGAAAAACAAATTATTCAAACATATTGGTTGATTATCATCACCATCATCATCTTCATCATCAATTGATAAGCAACAATCAACAACAATTTACAAAACAATATATACATTTATATAGATATTTATTTGATTGAGATAAGGACAATTTAGCTTTTGTTATCAATCAATGGACAATATTATGAGCACGTTAAAAACCACCATTGAAACCAAAGTGTAAAACTTTTCCCGTGTCTCAATCAACGTGCCAAGTAAATTTGATAATAATCAAAAATCCTCTTCAATATCATCATCATCTTATACAATTAAATGGATGCGATTATTAAATTAAACAATCGTACACATTAAGTGAATTAAAATCGAGATGATTGATGAAAAAAAGTTACTAAAGTGTTTTGTATTTACTATTGTTATCAAAGTCTTCATCTTGTTTTGCTTTTTGTGTCACATTCAAATTTGTCGATATTCAATCTCACTCACTCCCAATGGTTTTATCATCATTCTCACCTTTTTAGATTCATCAATTATCATCACAATTATTGCTCTCTTTTGTCATCTTCCATTCATATTTATCATGTTAACAAAGTCCATCTTCCGTTTTTTTATTAATAATACAAGTTTATTATTATACTCGTGGTATATTAAACTCCTCTCTCTCTCTCTCCATCTTCATCCGCTTTATCATCATTGGCTTCCATCATCCACTCAATTTATTTATCATCATCATCATCAGTTGTATAATTTTAACTTAAATGTTTCTTATGAAAGGATATCCTAACTTTTCATTCATTCATCGTCACCATCATGCTAATGGTGGTTAGCAATTAGTCAACTAAATACAATTAGAAACAAAGATAATTGGTTCAGTCAATACTTTGAATTGTAATTAGATTGAATGAATATTTCGCTCGTGCTTCGATTGGTATTATTGACCAACAAGAGAGAGAGAGAGAGAAACTGTTGAAAATTAAACTCTTAAGAGAGTGAGTGAGAGAGAGAGAGAGAGAGAGAGAGAGAGAGAGAGAGAGAGAGAGAGAGAGAGAGAGAGAGAGAGAGAGAAAAGTTTTTTTTTTGACAAAAAGAAAAACTTTCTGATCTCATTGACACTTTTGGATCTATTTGTTAGGATAAAAAAATTGCTCGAAAAAGTAAAAGCACTTAAAAGGTTCAAAAGTAATGCCAACATTGTGGACTGGACTTAAATCTTTACTGTTTATTAGTAAAAAAAACTTTCGTTTCTTTTTCTCAAGTGGTCAAGTCATAGAAATATATACAAATATCAACAACAAGAGAAAACAAATTGAACAATAATCATAATTGTCAAGAAAAAAAATGAAGAAAAAAAACTCAAACATTGAAACTTAATGGAAAGGAAAATGATATTTTGTTTTGTTATCCAATTTATCAAACGATTATCATCATCATCATCATCATAATAATCAATTGATATTATGGATTAAGAAATAAAAACTGGACATGCGAATAAAAGTTTTCTAGTAAAGTAGTTGTCACAAATTGTCACGCCTTCTCCTATCCTAATAATAGTGAGATGATAAAATCTCACTCCCTGTTATCCTAATCACTAATCAGTTGATTGATAAATGAAAACCTATTTAACACCTTAGACCACTTTCACCCTCGAGTATATCACCAAAGGCCATCTAAAGATCATACCTAGTGTCCAAAATGTTGTAATTGTAAAGAGTGATGAAGATAAAAAAAAGTAAAGTTGAAAATGTTACTGAATGAATAAGTATAAGGAAAAAAAACTAATCCATAAACTTGAATGTTGATCTTGAAAGGTTATAAATAGCAGGAATTATTATATAAATAAGTAATCAATGCATATATATATATATAAACATAATCTATGGTTAAGTAGCTGTATCAGTAGAAATGAGCATCCATAATGATCAACAATTAACCTATTCAAACGTATTGTATTATTCAAATCCACTTGAGTTGCAAACATTTTTGTTTCATTTTGAGAAAACCTTTGTACCTTTAAGCTTTCAAGTGGACATTATATTCATATAATATAATATTATCCAGCTAATTTTGATTATCGTAAAAAATATCATCCATTTTTTAGTTGTTGCTGTTTGTTGTTTGATAATTGTCCACCATAATGGTCAAGGCTATTGAGGAAAGATTAACGAAATCGTTACGATTTCTTAACTATAATAATGATAAAACTTGTCTCTTTGTTGTAATTGTCTCCATTGTCATTTACATGGTTATTATTGTCCATTAAAAGTTATTAGTTTGCATATTATCATGATATTATTATGTGTTATTCAAGGATAAGATTCTGGGTAAGATTTTTTTTTCATAGTACATTTTGTATGGAAAAGTTTATATTAATATAATAAGATTTTTTTTATTACTATTAATATGGTCTTTTATGATCATTATTATTATGATGATGATCGTTGCCTCTTATTTGAGATGAACTCCCATGGTATTGGGTAAGGTATTCATATTATCACCATGATTATGAATGATTCAGTCTCAAGGAATTTCAATCGTCAGATTATTTTGCATTATTATGATATTAATAATGTTAGTATTTTCTATTCTCTCGCTTATCAATCATGGATGATGATATTTCAGCATCAACATTTTCTCGAGTTTATCATGTCTCTCTCTCTCTCTCTCTCTCTCTCTCTCTCTCTCTCTCTCTCTCTCTCTCTCTCTTATTTGTCAAGAATTCTATAAGTAAAAATATTCTTCAAGTTATTTGAAATAAATCAATAGAAAAAACGAAGACGAAAAAAAAAGAAAAAGCAAAAAAAAAGAATAAAAAAGAAAATTTTCCAATCAAAATCAATAATGTCCACATACTCATAGAAAGTCCTGTTCTCACTAACTGACCAATACATGATGCTAATCAGGGTGAAAATAT